TAAACTTTTGACTCAAAAACCAAAGTCACTGAGATATAGCCCTGTGTGACAACTAGCCCCGGTCTCACCTACACTGGTAGAATGTGTCCAAAACATTTAACATCAAACTTAACGCGCAGTAGATTAGTATCCTACCCATTTCGTCGTTGCGAGTCATTTTGTGTCCGCCGAGACGCGATGAACGCCGACAGAGAAGATCTTAATAGCGTTTAATGCACTGCGTCTCCCGTCTGAACCACAACCGCTCGGCTCGACCCGAGACTGCATCCCGAGAGCCGCGCGAGAAGCCGCTGCCAGTTCTGGAGATCTGCGCATGTCTGACAGCGGAGCCATCGGCGTTTAAGAGGCTGCATGCGCGATGAAGCTGAGGAGGAACTCACTGCTCCTCGCTTTAGTCTACATTATTTACGGATCCTGACGCTATCAAGCCACTAAGCCGGAATTCAGTTCATTACGAATGCATGCCGCCTCAAACCGCCCGAAAAAACACAGGTAATAACAGACACGAAGCTGCAGCCAAACACTGTTAACACTAAAAGTGGAATACAGTCAAACAATGCAAGTGAATGAACGTCCTCGGGGTGTGAAGTTCACCTAACATGACCTCACACTGTGTGAATGAAGTCTAAGTCAACTTAAGTAAGATTTGCAATAAAAAAAAATGTTGTTTTCACTGAAAGGGCTAAAAAGCATCTATACACACAGTCAGACACTAGCTTCAGTCTCACACAACACTTCACAGTGCAACAGAATCAGCTCTTTTGTAATGTGTTTGTATTCACTAGGAGAAGATTGGCTTAAGTTGAGCAAGTTTAGCAAAAAGAAGACTAATTGGCATAATGTTGCCTTCAAATAAAACAGCATCAACAGCAGTAAACAGATCCAAACCCTCTATTAAACCCCTATTCCACACAGTCCCATCTGTCACAGCAGAGGTGTTTGGAGCACAAGAAACAGTGCCGTTCTAAAACATGACGTTCATGATTTTGGAAATCTAAAATATGTAGACACTACGTGTCTGAAATAAGTGGTAACGACTCGCGTAAAGTCAAGTAGCCAGTTAGGGATGCTGGGAAAGCACATCTGTAAAGCATTAGAGTTAAACGGGTTCAAAACTTTATAATAACTTTTATTACATTAATAAACCTTAATAACAATAAATAATTAATGTCTGCTGTTCAG